GAAAGTGGGCTCTCACCAGGCCAAATCCGCTAGCACCTTGATCTTGGACTTGCAGCCACCAGAGCTGTGAGAAACAAATTTTTGTTGCATATAAGCCACCTAGTCGTTGGTATTTTGTTATAGCAGCCTGAACAGACTGAGGCAGCAGCTATGATGCCTGTTCTCACAGTTTACCACCTAAATCAGCTTTACGTCAGCTGAGGTTCCTAGTTCTTTCCATATTAGAAAGACAATAGATTGTTTGCTCACTCTAGCATGTTAGTGGTGGGTTTTACAAAGAGCATGACTTACGTGAAATGCCTGTAAGATAAAAATATAACATTCCTGAGTGAGTTTCCCCTCCGTTACTATTTTATTGAAGAATAGATAAGATGGAGATGTGCATATTTTTTCTACGTAGAAAGCAATCTAGTTTATCAATATCAATATCAATATTATCAATCTATCTAGTTTATCCTACTTTGAAATATTACTCTGTTCCAGTGGGGAAGGGGAGATGGTTGGGAAGTGTCTGATCTGTGACGGTTACATTATAAATTGCCTGCTTGGGCACCAGCTGTCCTGAGACTTGCTGTGGTTTATGTTTCTAAAGCAAGGATTCAGAAATCACAGATTTAGCAGCTCAAGACTGCCAGATTAGCTGTTCCCAAAAAAAGGAGTCAGGAGATATGCAAGTATATCTTTGCAGCAAATCTCGTATCTTTTGGGCTTATTTTAATCACTTAAAACATAGTCACAATCTAAATGACCTCCGGGAGTAGCTGCCCAGCAGGGTGAGGGAATAATCCACAGAAAATCACAGCACTGGAACCTGGACAGGGGCAAGAGAGAGCCTCTCACTCGGCCGCGGAGAAAGGGGACGTGACTGGAACCTTCAGCTAGAAATCGCTCTCTTCTCTTCTTATGGGGCCTGAATGAAGGCTCAGATAAGCAATGCATCACCGAATTTAAGACATGGCAAGGGTTTCTTTGACCTCCCAGCCCTGCCAGCAAAAGTGCCTAATCTCACGGTGAGCACAAGGTGGTGAGGAGGAAGCAAACTTTAACAGATGGTTTCAGGCCTGAATAACGAATGGAGTTGAAGTAATTAGCAAGTATTTGCTCACCGATAGGCTGCTCGGAAGCCACAGGGTCATCGGGGGAAACTGCAGCTTCATGCAAAACATCTTCTACGTGATGTGGCATTTTTAAAATGTTCATTTCCTTATCTCAGCCTAAAAACTCGAGAAAGCGCTGTGTAATGAAAGCTTAGGTTAGGGCTCGAGGCAAAGCCAAGAGGCCGATGAGCAAGGAGGCCAAGCAGTGGCAGGAACGAGCGAGAACGGGGCGTGGTCTGCGCCCCCTGGTGCCATCTCTGAGTAACGCATGCACCCGCAGGCGAGGGCCCTCACGGCTCCACTGCCAGGACCCCCCGTTTCCACTCCGGGGATACGTCTGCGGACCACACGAAGGCAATCTGAAAAGCCATAACTGCTTGCACATCTCCTTGTCTACTCATTTACCCAAAGCACTCGAGCTATCGAGTTTTTAAAACAATTTTATTTCCTGAATGCAAAAAAAAAAAAATTACCTTTAAAAATTTTATTGGCCATTGGATTTCCCATATCTGTTCATGGACTCCATACAAGGGCTCAGTTACACTAATAAAAATAAAAGAGGTGAAACAAGTGATCTTAAGGGTGATGTCCTGCTGACAGCACGTGGACCCTACTGCCACAATGGCCAAGGTAAGATGGTGGCAGCACCACTTGCCCACCCTGCTATGGCAGAGCATCATGCCCCAGGCAGGCTTGGAGGAAAGCGGTTTATTCTCAGAGACTTATCAAGCCTTAGTCTCTGCAAGGCTGTCAAAGAACCCTACTCCAACAAACCGCTCATGCGGACAGATCTCTCTTTTGAACAGAAATGATTCTAAAGACTCCTGGGGTCCACGAGGAAGCATCTTTATTCCTACTGAGAACCCATGCAAAGAGTCTTTATATTCTTTCCACTTTATCATCCAATTCCTCTGCAGCTTTTCACCACCCTTGCTATGAAGAGAATATGCCACAATGGAGGAAATGCCACAACAGTAAACTGAATGCTTGACAAACATACATACATACATACATAAATAAATAGATATGTTCTGCATTATTTTCTGATTGAATTTAATTCTAACATATTAACCTTAAATGGCAGATTTACTTTTTTTCAAAAAAGGTTCCCTCACATATATTTTTCTTTGAAGAAAAAAATAAACTCTCACTTGCAACATTTTGAAGTTTGTATTCTGTGCTTTATGTTTCTACATGACCAGCGTTTTTACAACATAAAGAATCTTACTTAAGCAACTCTCAACATCTTCTATGTTCGTATGTACTAGCCTTAAAATATAAAGAAAATGTTTCCTTAATAGATAAAATTTCTGAGGGAAATTAGAAAGTATAAGTACAGTCTACAGCCATGCCACCCTGAACAAACTTGATCTTGTCTGATCTTGGAAGCTTAGCAGTGCCGGGTCTGGTTAGTACTTGGATGGGAGACCACCTAGGAAAACCAGGTGCTGTAGGCTTAAAAAACAAAATAGAAAATAAGGGATTGTAAACTGATAAGGTGCTTGCAATCTGTGAGGTCCTGAATGCTTGACAAACATAAATAAATAAATAAATAAATGAATGAATGAATGAATGAATGAATGAATGAATAAGTGAGTAAGTAAGTAAGTAAGTACTAAAAAACACAGTTTTGAATACAACAGTCAGAAGAATGACTGCAGGAGAAAAATACATGGCGGAAAACTTTCAGATGATATTTTTTGGACAAATTACTTGAAAATTTTCAGGACACATATACCTGTTTTGGTCCTTTAATATAATCTGCTGTGGTACAGTGGTTACACACACAGGCTCTGGAGAGAGACTGGTTCAAATTCCAACTCTGTGTGGTCTTAGACATTTTAAAACTTAAAACAAATTCTGTGCCTTAGTATCCTCATCTGTTAAATGGAGATAATAATAAAGCTGTTATGACGATTAAATGTGCTAACACATACAAAGCATTTAGAACGATGCTCAATAAAGCTGTGATCATTATTACTATAATTCAAAATGGCTTTCACACGCATTATCACATTTGCTCCCGCAAGCACACTATGAAACAGAGGTGATCATTTCATCCATACTTTACTGATGAGTATAATGAGGCTCAGTGAGTTGCTAAAAATATAAACAACTTGCACCAGAGTCAAGATTTGAATCCCGGTTTTTTCACATTAAACCTAGATTTTTTTTCCCATTACATTGGATTAGTTACATGTAAACCACACCAAAACCAGCTATTATAAAATATGATAAATTCCTTAAAAAGAAGAAAAACTATTGAGAACATCAGAGTACCTATTCCAGGAATTCAGTCTTAGGATAAACAAATGATCAGTTGATGGCACAATTTACTGCAGTAGTTAAAGCACATTTTTAGAATCAGTCTGTAGCAATTTGGAACATCTAAAATTGTGAAGTGAGGGGTGAGTTAGAAGATTCATTATATGTACTCTTTGTTGTAAATTTTACTTCTTATGAAAACAAGTAAACTCCCATCTTGAGAAAACTTAATATACAAAAATGCAGAACTACAAGACAGATGAGCCACTCATTACAGAGGGCACCCCTAAATAGCTTAAACATTTAATGAACCTTGTCACCTTATTGTTGTTGTAACTCACAAGCCAGCAGTGGACTCTCTGATCACTGATACGTTGTAATATTCAGGATACATCCTCCTAGATCTAGAAGACTGGGTGTTTCACCCCTCAGAATCCTTATCCACATGACACTTAGGGGAAGTTTAATGAGACAAGCAGAATATTGTTGAATATAAATGAACAACTGGCAGATATTCCTTCTTTCCTAATGAATTTTATAATTCAGAGCATTTGAATGGATCCCTAGGGCAATAATTCTTTCAAGACTAATACTCTTTCTAGTATTCGTATCTATTTCTAATTCATAGTTTGAATGTGTTAGCCTTCAAGAATCTATATTAGTCTTCTATTTAATAACATGAACCTTCTAATTATGAATCTGATTTTGATTTTTAATATGTACTCTACATGCAAATTATTCAAATTAGCCCTCAAAATAATTTTTAAAAAGTGTTTGGACAGACCCACATTAAAAACTAAATTTTAAGCAAAGATTGTGTGTTAAAAATGATCCTCTTTAAAAAATTCTCTCAACTCTCAATGACCAGCAAATCGCACTGTACATATATCAGTGTTTTTTTATTCAGCTCATCATCAGGGTTTTGTCAGACCTTTACCTAAGTCCACACGAGACTTCCTTTAAGTTCATCTGAGCAACTCATATTAACATGGCCATCATCCAAGTCAACTGATGCACATTCCAAAGCTGAAGAAACCTTTCATTTTAATTCTAAAATTATGTTTTCAAAACAAGATGTACAATATTCTAGAAGTATGCATCTTAAGGCCATCTGGATGGAAATATTTTGTTCTTTGGATAGGTACTTAAAAATCTATAAAATTTAAATAAATCTCACTACTGAACATTACTGAGACAGTAAATTATAAAATATTATTTAGGCCAAAGAAAGCACTAAGATTTTCCTCTACTGGTCAGAGTTTACCTCTACATCTTAGTCATGGTCCAGGCTATAAGACATTACTATATGACAACACTGAAAACAAATGGCTGAAAAGCACTGTTATGTCAAGCAATTAATAACTGAAGTAGTTTTTTAGTTACTAATTGCTTAATATAATGGCATAATCATTTAAGCTTCAGAGATGGGCATTTTACTTTATTCCAATGGCTAATCCTGTCTGACACTATCCTTGGACTGGTTTGAAGCCAACAGCTATATATTTGTTGACTAAATGACCCAACTCTCCCAAAATCAGTAGAATGTATGTTTCAGATTCCCATCACAGGCCATATAAATTTCCCACCTCCCTGGTTCTTGCCTGTAAAGTCAAGGTCATACCACGATACCTCTCTTACCTGTTTCCCATCCAGGGTATACAGGCGTTTCACCACTCCCGAGTCCAGCTTGATGGCGTCGGTTATGTCAGTGAGAACCTGCTCGAAGGAATGAGCAGTCTTCTTGTTCAGCAGAATCCTGACAGCTTTCCGTGGCTTCACCCCACTTCTGATGATGGTGACCAGCTTGGGTCGAATGAAATCCTTATTCTCCCGTACCTCTGAAGGGCTCCCTTTGGCAGTAGCCAGTGACGACACCGCCCGGGACGCCGAGGTGGTCTTGACGTTCACAGACCAGTTGGGGTTCACATTCTTGGTGTACTCCAGTTTCTTGAAGGGTTCAATTGAGCCACACACATAACTCTCTCCTAAGGAAAAGAGAAATATGTTTAAGCTTAAGCTAAGGTAAACTCATTTCCTTTCTCATACTCTGTGATATTTTTCTTTTCTACTTAGAGGTGAAAGCTAGTTGTGACTTTTTAAACAATGGAAGTATGATTAAGAATTAAGAAGAAAGATTTTTGACTTCTAATCTGGCTCTGTCAGTAACAGATTGGTATCCTGGTGAGGAAACATCATCATCCCTCCCTTTCTTCATCATTAATATTGGTAGAAATATTGGTATTTAATAAACTTCAAAAAGATATAAAACTGAATTCAAAATATAAAGTATTCTTTGAGATTTAGGAATATTTCTATTTGCAGAAAAGTTCAAAATCAGAGGTACCTACATTTGCCACCTGAAATCGTTTAAAAACTGAAAATGGGTCAGAAAACAGCTTCTTAAAATAGCTATGTAATTTATAAATTTGATGAAAGTGTTTGCTAAACATTTTGTACAGCCAAGTAAAATTCCAAAAGCAAGCAAAATAACCACCCTTCCTCCTCTCCCATCTACACAGGGCTGAGCACTCGATCCACAAACACTAGGAAGCCAGTTCACACCTGTTTATAGATAAAAGGTTTTGAGACTGGTCAACTTAGAAACTGTAGCTTCTTAAACTGACTCTAAAACAAATATAATTAAATAAGATGAGTAAGAACTCAGGACCTAATATAAAACATGGTGACTACAGTTGGTAACACTGTATAGTATAAAAGAGAATTCTAGCAAAGAGAGTAGAACTGAATTGTTCTCACACACACAAAAAGGATAAGTATGTGAGGTGAGAGATATATTAATTAATTAAATGGGAAGAACACTTTCACAATGTGTGTGTGTATACCAAATCATCACAAGGTGCACTTTAAATATTTCACAATTTTATTTGTCTATTATACCCCAATAAAGCTAAAAAGAAAGTAAATACATAAAATTGTTATTAGAAATGACTCCCTAACAGAGAATCGTTTAATCAGAAAATTCAGACTATTAAGTAGATGTGGATTACACTCACAAAAAGTAATACACATACCAAGCGATAACAAATTATCAAATAACTGATCTTATCACCAGTCCCCAACCTTTTTGGCACCAGGGACAGGTGTTCCTATGAGAGTCTAATGCCTGATGATCTGAGGCAGAGCTGAGGCGGTGATGCTAGTGCTGGGGAGCGGCTGCAGATACAGATGAAGCTTCTGCTCGCTTGCTCACTGTTCGCTGCTTACTTCCTACTGTGCGGCCCAGTTCCATGGCCCAGGAGTTGGGGACCGCCTATATACGTATTTCATAAAGTCAGTCAAAGCATTTTGAAATTAAATATTTTATAAAGGCCTTTTTCTGTGTTAGCAAGTCTTTGTAACTGGGAATAGGTAAAAATGCTAAAAAGCCTTCCTAATTGCAGGTAAAGTGACCTAGGACTAATCCTACACAGCCCATTTACTTTTATCTAAATCCTCATCCTATTTTTAAATTAATAGTGCAAGCATCCAATGCCAGAGGATAAGTATTCACATAAAAATAAGTGAACCAAGGCTTCAAAAATAGAAAAGCACAGTTATACAGGTTATCAAACATTTGCTTTACAAATGTTTTTAAAATATATTTTAACGTGTGTTTATACATGATGCCTCACTAGAAGTTGTATGAATAGTACAAATTTAGCAAACCAGCTTTCGATTCACCTCGTAGATCATGACTGGTCCCACCTATGCTGTTCTTGCGATTTATACAGATATAAAAAATGTGTACAAGGGAACTGCAAGAGCAGGGCTGTTTCTGAAGGCTCTGTGGAAAGGCAGCGTGCATGAGATAGAGGGAAGAAAGAACTGGAAGTCTGGGCTCAAATCCAGCCTCTCCAAGCGTGTGACTGTGGGCAAGTCTGCTGGTCTTCTCAGGGGTACTTTATTCATCCATCGGATAAAGGCTATTCCAGTGGCCACTTTTATGTCACCAGTTTGGGGTGAAGACTGAATTAAACAATAGAGGTTAAAGTGATCTCAAATGCAAAATTGCTACACAGGTAAAAATCATCTGAGGCTGCAGTGAGCCTGAAAGGAAAATTTAGAAATGAAATTACCAGAAACCAGTAAGCAGGTCTTATAAAGTGTTCATTATTTCTAGCTACATAGTTACCAGCGGGCAACACTTTGGATTCATCGCAATGTGAGGATGCCCCAAATATTCCCTAAGGAGACCCACAGCTCATGCTTCAACTGGCAAAGCCAGTCTGTCAGAATTCTGTGCTAATTGGAGATGTGCAATTGTCTAATTGTTTTAATTTTTCTTTTATTTTTTAATTTTTTTTATGCCTACAGCACCTGGTCTTCCTAGTGGTCTCCCATCCAAGTACCAACCAGGCCTGACCCTGCTTAGCTTCTGAGATAGACAAGATCCGGCATGTTCAGGGTAGCATGGCTGTAGACATTTAATTTTAACTTTTTTGTTAAGTTTACATATTAAGGTAATAATTCAACAGAGAAAAATATTTTTTAACTTTAGAAAAGAAAAATTGTTTTAAAAATAATTTAATAATTATATAATATTAAATAATTTAATATATTTAAAATAATTAAATAATTTATTTTAAAAAGAATTTTAAAGTATTCACATAACAATATAGAATGCGTCTATTGAAAGAGAAAAGAAATACTTTTTTTTAACATCTTCGATAAAGTATACTGTAATTTTTTAAAAGATCGACGATGCTGAGAAAGTAATATTGGTTTGTTTCAAGTGGCAACAATGAGAAGAAACTTGTATTTAATCTATGCTGTCGTTTGGAAGGCCCTCTGCCTGGTTTATCCGATATAAAGACTGGAATAAAGTCTTGGAGAAGGATGCAAGACTCCAATAAAGGACGATATTGTGGTAAAAGGACAGTGACAGCTAAAAGGAGAGCAAGGAGCTGGCCACCAAATCCAACGTCGCACACCATGCAACACTGGCCTTTAAAATCTACTACGTTATTCAAGACTTAGGAAAAGTAAAGATGGGTTTCTTTATGTTAATAAGCTTCTATTTAATTGTGTGAATATATTTACATTAAATTTATTTGACTCCACATTTTGGTTACTTTTAATCATAATTCTGAACTCCCCACCATTAGGAGACCCGGTCTCTGTTTTAAATCAGTTAAATTCAAATTGATAGCATTTCATAATTTTGTTTTTAAAAAAGCTTTGTAAAGGTGATAATATCACTGATAAGTGTAAATTAACAAGTCATAATTGTTCTGAATGGGAAGAGTACACAGTCTTGATTTGGTCAAATAGCTCTGGGTACCCAGTGTTTAATCTTTTTCAAATTGGGGCTGAGAGTTAAGGGATACGTTATATTCATGAATACAGCATCATCAACGGAGTGCGTTCAAGTCCTTACATGAGGTATGTGGGTTAAAGGTCATTGAAAAATAACAAAACAAAGTAAGACTTACAATGACCTTTAAAAATTTATAACTGATAATTATAATACCTATAATTATATGCCTCTTTTCATGTACACTAAGCCATCTCAAAGTTTTATGGTGTAATTTATACTGTGACAACAAAAGAAAAGTTAATTTACCTAAACTAAGGTATACTTGAGCAAAATAGACTGATATTGTGATTTATAATAATACATATATAATTGATATTTACACCCTTTCTGGCACAGAGTATCTAAAACCCTTGAAATGTCCTAAGTGACAATAAAGCAACAAAGATGTCTTGCTATTCATAACAGACCCCTCTAAACTACACCTGAGTTTATGTCAGTGAGATGACTTTTGGAAAGCATCACAGGATGGGGGCCGGATGCCAAGGGAACCAGCCATGTGATAGGAGGATTGGAACTTTCAGTTTCACCCCACTGGCCTCGGGGAGGGGAGAGGAGCTAGAGGTCGTATCAATCACCAGTGGCCAATGATGTAATCACTCATGCGTACGTAAGAAGCCTCAATAAAACCCAAAAGGACAGAGTTTGGAAAGCTTCCGGCTGCTGAACACATGGAAATTTGGTTCATCTATCGTGCTTGAGAGAGGACAGAAGCTCCAAGCCTTTTCCCCATCCATACTTTGCCTTATGGGTCTCTTCCACCTGGCTGTTCTTGACTTACACATTTTTATAATTAACTGGTAACCCAGTTAAGTAGAATGTTTCTGTGAGTTCTGGGAGCTGCTCTAACAAATTAACAGAGCCAAAGGAGGGAGTCATGCGGACCTCCTATCAGCCAATCCATCAGAAGCACAGAGGACAACCTGGACTTATGACTGGCATCTGAAGTGGGGTGGGGGACAGTCTTGTAGGACTGAGACCCTAAGCTTTGGTCTTTGATGCTGTCTCTAGGAAGAAAGTGTCAGAATCGAGATGAATTGCAGGACATCCATTTGGTGTCACCAAGAATTGCTTGGATAGGTGGGAAAACCCCCGACAAACACTGAAATTTGATAGCCCAGAATTTGCTTTGAAAGTTTGGATTACTTACTACAGGCGAAGTGAGACAAGGATGGAAAATGGCACAGATCACAGATGGTTTAAAGGAAATGGTATAAAAGTCCATTTAGAAGTGGAGCTAGAAGCTACTAGACATAACGGCTTGCGGGTTGGTTACTGTGCTGTCACTCTGGTTCCAGTTTATTTCAGCCAAAAATCTTTGTGTTAAGACTGATTTTCAGTTTGAAACTTAATACTCTGTGTGTCCAAGACATCCCAACAAATATCGAGAACTGCAGAAGTGGCATCTGTCTGAATTGCTGTGGCGTTCACAAAAGCCAGAAAACTAATATTTGCTTTTAAGCAAAGATAGAGAAAAAGAAAATGACAGTTAATAAAAAAAAAAAAAAGAAAGGTAAGGAAATAAAGCATAAAATTATGTTTGAACCTAAACAGTACCTCTTAAACTATCAGAATATTGTAGATTCTTCCCTGAAAGATTTAGGTAATTTGAGGACTCTGGAGAATGGGATAATTTCTACGAAAGTATATTAGATAATTTTTAAGATAATG